TCCCAGTACTGAATCCTGCCCCCGCGCTCTGTACAAGAATATCCTGCACACAATCACATAGAGAGAACCTGCAATCCAGATTCCTCTCTCAGGAACTGAGCCTTTCTCAACTGACTTTCTATGAGTCATTGGTGTCCGTGGGGTACCTAGTGTATGCCAATTCAACCACAAGGATCGCTATTTTTACCTTAAACATCTGACACCAAGAAAAAAAATAACAGCTTTATTCACGGAGAGGCAGGCACTTTGCCAACAGAACTTAGTCTCCCAAAAGGAATAAGATGTGGGACTAATTGAAAGGCGCGTTTATGCCACATTGAGGGAAACGGATTTGCCAAGAACACATAAAAGCAAAATTTTTGACTGGTTTTAGCTTCACATTTACCAGAATAACTTACAATTTTTACTTCTGAAGTCAGGCAGTGGAGAATTATGTAGGTAAATTGTCCCCAGCTGCCTCTTAACAGCAAGGGCACAATTTTGTCCTTGGCTTAACCAACAGCTTCAGAATTTTTTATTTGTAATAAACATAGACACTTATGCCTCACTATGACTTCCAAGCCTTCCAATTCTGAGTTGCTGACAACCATGACAGTCCACTAAATGGGGAAATTACAGGGAGCAATTTTCCTATTTCCTCCTCAAAGTCAGTGCAGTTTGGTTGGGGGAGGGGCAGGGCTAGTAGTGGGTGATGATCTTGCAAATGTGTTATTTGTGGAGGCATTATTAAGAATTTTGGGCAGCAAAATGAAATGTGATCACCATGTGGTGCCTGGTCTAGAAATGGAACATTGATGACATGTGATTTCCAGCCTAAAGAAATATGTATTTATATATTCTTCATCAAAGGCAAACATATTTTACATCACTATTTGCCATTCTCATTCACATTCTAAGGTAAAAAACTAACGATTTATTTTTACTCATCAATACAACATAAAAGATTTTCCTATGTTTCCTTCTAAGCCATACCAGTAAGGGCTTTGGTTTGCATTTCTTGGTATGACTTGTGGATCCAATTTTTATCCAGGGCTGCTGCTGACAATCCCAAAGCTGGTTCTGCAGTTCATACTCTTTCTCCTGCATCCAGAGGCCTCCTACATTGCTCCTTAGGGTGCTCTTACAGTCATCTTTTTCTACCCATTTATTTGTGGTTAACCCACTTGAGTTTGTCCCACAGTGGTTGCTCTGTCATCCATCCTCGTGTCTAGGCCAGCAGATGTGGGTTCAGCAAGCAAGTTCTGATAAACAGGCTGCTTCCAGAACCCAAGAAGTGCTGACGATGGTAGCATACCCATAATGTCTTTCCGGGGCCTCAGTGAGGATGCTGGGTTTTATTCATGGTGAGATGGGAAACCACTAGAGGATTCCTCCATGTGGAAAAGTGACATGGTGTGGATACGTGTCTGCAGGATCCCATGGGCTTAGCACACCACTGAAATAAGCCAGACAAGAAGTGACGGTGACTTGGGCCAATGTGGTAACAGTTGAGGAAGTGGGAGGAGGTGGGATCCTGGGTATTTAGAAATAAAACTCAAGCCTCCCATAAGGTGCTACAGCTATTCTCAATAATTATTTCAAGCTCTAAATGTCAACATAGTATTTTTCTGTTTGTCCTGAGACTTCAGATGTTGGTGGTTTTCAAATATGGCTAGGATCTCTATCTTGTTTAAATGGAGTGCCTAAGACAATACAGCTCTCGTGGAAGGATCATGCTTCCTAAAGCGAGGATCACTGCATTGATACAACATTATAATAAACTGAATTCTTAAAATTTGTCTTCTTTCAGTGTGTTGGCAGACGCCACTCTAGACCAAATAGAATAATGTCTTACCAGAAGACAGGAATAATATCACCTCTGAATTTCAAGCACTTTTATTATAAGCCTTGATATTTCTGAATCACTATACTCAATGTTTAGTGAGCTCTTAATATTTATCATTTATTAATTATCTATTGCTACATAACAAACTACCCCTTAACTTGGCAGTTAAGATACGTATCTCACTTTCTGTGGGGTCAGGAAACCAGAGGTGGCTTGGCTCGGTCCTCTGCTTCGTGATCTCTCCCAAGGCTCAGTCAACGTGTTGACTAGGCCTGGGATCACACTAGAAGGCTTAACTGGGGTAGGACCCTCTTCCCAGCATGTGTGGGTTCTGGAGGATTCATGTGCTCCTGGCTGTGGGAATGAGGACCTCAGCTTCCTGCAGGCTGCTGGCCACCTTTAACTCCTTGCCATGGGGACCTCTTTCACATGGCAGCTTGCTTCATCAAAGCCAAAGAAAGAGAGACCTGCTAGCAAGATGAAGGCCACAATCTCTTGTAACTTAATATCACAGAAGTGACATCCCGTGACACTGTCTGCATTCTGTGGGTTAACAGCAAGTCACTAGGTTCAGCCCACACTCGAAGGAGAAGCGTACGCAAGGGCACGAGCCCTCAGTAGTAGGGGTCACTGGCCGCCATTTTAGAAGCTGTCTACCACACAACACTGATTACTGACTTTGTGATATTTTAGGCACTATTCTAAGCCTCCCTTATGACCTTCCAAGGAAGAAGAGGAACAAAACTAGAAAAAAATCAATAAAATATAGATTCTGGTGGTGATAACTACCACTGAGAAACAGAAAGTAGAAGCAGTAGTAATTATTATTGTTACTGTTGTTACTCCTTTGACAATAAGGAGATGTCATTTTAAATCTGGGGCCAGAAAGGTCTCATGGTGGCCCCAATATACTGACTCCATCTAATTTCTCTTCCACATCTTCTTATCTGAATATGTCTAGCCTGAGGCTTCTAGGCAGTTGGGCAGTGTAAATGAAGCAGAAGGGTAACAGGGACCAGCAGCAGAGCACAGTCATTGAAAATATAAGCTCTGGGGACAGCCTGTCTGTTTAAGTCACTGCCCAGTTACCTGACCTCTCTGTGCCTCAGTTTCCTCTTCTGTAAGATGAGGTAATAATGGACCTTAGCTCATAGGGGCTTTGCCACTTAAAGTTTATTAGAGAACCTGGAACAGGAGCAATAAAGATGAAGATATTAAGAGCCCATCAAGAAGGGAAAGCAAATTCAACAGCATAAATTAAAGAAGGAACTTCCAATACCATCATATTAAAGACCATAGATTTGGAGTCAGTAAAAAAAAAAAACAAAAAACTAAGCCAAGTCATTATGACTATAATTAGAACATGCATCAATTCCAGGTTTTAAAAAATTAGTATTTGGTAGGAATTATCCACAATTCAATTTATTCTGTTTGAAAAGTGGCATTATGGGTGCATGGATACCACCTTTCATGGACATATTTTACAGTTCCCAGTTCTAAGACTTTCTGTTTCTTCAGAAAGCCACTGGGTCATGCTACTTCTCAAATGTCGATTAATTGGGACATTTTATTGTTGCTTCTGATTTTCCTTCTTGGGAACAGGTTTGTTTCTCTCCACAGGCCTTTCTCACCCTAATTAAAATTGAGTAAGATCTCTTTAGAATATTTTGCTAAAGATTAAAAGAGAGGGCAAACATTGCTTTAAAATAGAAAAGAAATACAGCTTTCATTTTTTGAAAAGCGTAAAGATTTAAACATAAATAGTAAAAGATAAAATTAGACAAGCCTTGATTTCCTATTGCCTTTGAACAAATAACCAGGGCTCCTTTTCCGGGGCTTTTCACTGATCACCACTATTGATGCTGTTGTTGTTACCATCATCATCATCACCAGGGGTCGTTTTGCCATTGCCTTTATCCCTGGTCCTGAGCTGTCCGTCAGGCACTGCTGTACCGGGAAGAGTCAGCAAGTTGTGGAATATAAACTACACCACAAGGATTCAGGAGCAAGCGGCTGAAGATCACACAGGGGCTATGAGTCAGGACTCCTCTCTCTTGAATTTTAGCATCCAAGGAAAAGAGAAGATACAGTGTCTTCCTGTATCTGAACTTTTGCTTTCTGTGAGTTCAGTTACATGCAGTCAGACAGGATCCAAGAATATTAAGTTGAAAATTACAAAGCAAATCAAAGTTTTAAGTAACTTTTATCACAGCACACTGTTAATAATGAAATGTTCTAGTTTATTACCAGGTGTTGTTGCTCCTTACGGTGCCTACCGTACAAATTAAATTTTATTATAGGGGTGTTGTATAGGAAAAAACACGGTGTGCATAGGGGTCAGTACTATCTGCAGTATCAGGTGTTCACTGAGGGTCTTCAAATGTTTCTCCCGAGGACCGGAGGGGATAGTTGTTAGAGCTTGAGATTATGAAGGTCAACAGCTGTGTGTGTGTGTGTGTGTGTGTGTGTGTGGTACTGGGGACTGAACCCAAGACCTTCACACTAGCTACACCACCTGCTCTGTTTTGATTTTTTTTATTTTGAGCGGGGAGGGGAGGTGTCTCACTAAATTGCCCAGGGTGGGCTTGAATTTGTGATTCTCCTGCCTCAGCCTCCCAAAGTGCTGGGATTACAGGTGCACCCAACTACACCTGGCTTTGTTTGGTCTTTACATTGAAGAAACCTGACTTATCTGTTAGCTGAGGGAGCATAACAAGATTCTTAAAATGAAGATGCAACAGAAAAGCCACAATTAACTCCTCGGGGGAGGGAAACATATGAGAGCAGACACACTTGCAGTTGTTTGATTCATAGGTTTTCAAAACTTCCCTCAGTGACTCTCCTGGGCAGCAAGGACTGAGTCCCAAGGCTTCCCTGAATGTCTCGGCCACCTGAGCTGTACCACCCGCCACTCGGCCCCCGGTTTCCTCCTTCTGCATCTAGGGAGTTGCTCTGAACAGCTCCACGAGGAGTGAGTCCTGCCCGCTAGGTGCGATGCGCCCTATCCCGGGAGCATGGGTGGGACTCCACACACAGCAAGGCTTGTTCGCATTTAGCTTGAGGTCTCCTCTACCCCTTGTCTCTGAAAGCTTATTCTTAGCCACATACACGGAAGAGCAAAGAGAAAATGGGGGTGAGGAGAGCATGATAATCTAAATACCGTTGATTTCTCCAGAGTTGAAGAAAGTTCCAACCAACATCCCTCCAGATATCGTTAAGCTCGACTTGTCATACAATAAAATCAACCAGCTTCGGCCCAAGGAATTTGAAGATGTTCATGAGCTTAAGAAATTGAACCTCAGCAGCAACGGCATTGAATTCATAGATCCTGGTAAGCGCCACCAAGCAGCCCCTTAAGTGGATGATGGGTGGTCTGTGACTTTCCTCTTACGGCCACATTTATAATAAACATGATTTAGTTTTAAAAAGAAAGAAATGAAACCAAACTAAATAATTTAAGAATATAAGTTTTAATGAAGCACAGCACTTAAGGCAGATTTGTTTAGCACTTAGAGAAATGTTGCTTTTATTTGTTTGTTTTGGAGATACAGCTCTCACTGATAGCTCAGGTTGGCTTTGAACTCACTATGTAGCCTAGGCTGGTGTTCCTCCTGCCTCAGCCTCTTGAGTGCTATGATTACTGTGTGCAACCCCACCAGACCAAATTGTTGCTTTATGAAGTATGTGATTCTAGACAGTTGTCCATTGGTATTCACAAGGGAGTGGCTGTAGGACTCATACCAAAATCCATAGATGCTCAAGTCCCTTATATAAAATGGCACAGTATTTGCATAGAGCCTATGCAATCCTCCCCTGTACTTTAAATCATGTCAAGGTTAGTTATACCATTTAAAACAATGCAAATGTATGTGGGTAGTTGTTACACTGGATTGTTTAGGGGATAATGACAAGAAAAAAGACTGCAGCACAGTACACATTTGGTACAGACGCATGGTTGGCTGAATCCACACACATAGACCCTGCACACACGGAACGCTGACGGAATAGTGCTGGGAAATATTTATTCACTCCGCACAAGGACTCAAACTTTTCTATGGAATAGACTTTTTGAAAATAGGAACTATGGGCATTATAATGCACACCTGTAATCCCAGCACTCAGGGGGCTGAGGCAGGAGGATCGTTGCAAGTTCGAGACCAGCCTGGGCTACAAAATGAGCTCAAGGCCAGCCTGAACTGCATAGAGAGACCCTGTCTCAAAACGACAAAAAAAAAAAAAAATTAGGAATTATGGCAAGCCATCAATAATATATTAAATGTATATGATTTTTATGTGGACATTCAAATTTGGCATTTTATCTGCTATTCATTAAGCCCTAACTTGTTTAGAATAAGTTTGAAACTGCCCAGGTCCCTGAACAAGTGTTTAATTTTCTTCTGATGCTGTTGTCCAAAGCCGTAGCTTACCAATGATCAAAAGTATGTAGACAAGTTTTAGAGCTCTCTCTAGAAGAAACGAAGATGTTAGCAATTATATAGTCTAAACTAAATGTATTAAAGCAGTGATAATATGCAAGAATATCGTAATTACAACAGAAGTAAAGGGAGGTAAAGAACACAGAGAAAAATAAAAGATGAAAGATCTAGATAGTAGTTGCAAAATGGATTTGATTTACTTCCAGGCTATTTTTCCCTCATCAGTTATGGTATCCACATAATTGCAAGGATCTCTTTTCTGTGCTTGGGACCCTTTAACGCTGTTCACCCAGTGCATCTTCCTTGCTAACATTTAACCTGGTCCTTGTTATCAGCAGTGGAACTTTTTTTTCCATTTGTTCAGTTCAGTCTGAGGAAATATTTCCTACATTATCGAATGTGTATTGAGCACCTACCAAATGCCAGACGCTTTTTGGAGAATGTCTTCTGGAACAAAAAAAGTGTCTCAGCACTTAAGGAAAAATAATGTGAAGGAGTTTAAAAATAAAAGACCTACTATATATGTCAGGGTCTTCAGGATGAAACACTGTCAAAGTAGACTGACCATAAAGATTTATGCTGGTAAGTATGCAAGTTCAGTAAGAGTTACCAGAGTTTAAAACATATAAACAATCTCATAAAATGCCAGGCATAAAGCAGAAAAGGGGAAAAAAAGTCACCCTAGTAGGGGGTTCACCTCCTTTAAGCAACATGAAAACTAGCTTTCCCAAGTGCCTGCATACATACATGTGTGGCTTAAATAACAACGATAGCGTTTTCAAAAAAAATTAGGAAAGTTTACACATGCTTCCAATCTGAAGGGCTGAATTGTTCTTAAGAATAGCTTGTGAGATCACTGACTCACAGAATTTTAGCAAATAGGAAAAAAATGCAGTATTTTCAGAACTGTCATCCCAAGGGCTGACCTTCTGTTCCCTCCCCCTCTCCAAGCCACTGCTCTGCACCAAAATAGAAAGTTTTCTTTTTAGGGTGAATTATGGGTTTTGTCAGAGTACAGATAATACAAAAATAGTTAATGGTACTGGCATGTCCACATATTTTCCAAATTCATAATAAGGCTAGTATGGTCTAATGAGAATATTTTAAAACAGCAATGAGAAAACATTTAAAATAAAAATAAAATACTTGAAATCTGAATTAACCTGTAAATTTTGGGATATCCAGTCAGTACATATCAACTAAAGTAGGAATAATAGAGGTGCCAATTTCTTTGCTCTTGGGAGAAAGGTGAAAAAAAACCTTTTTGTTGTTTTATTTTGTTACATGTGTAATAGTTATTCTAATTACCTATTCTCCAAAAAAAAAAGTACATGTGGATTCAAAGATGATAGCTACCATAGCTTGCCAAACCAAACCAGATGTTTTCACAACATTGATAGAAATTGTTTTTGGACTGTAGAGGAATAGTATCTACCTAAACTGCAAAAAGGTGGTTTTTTGTGGCATCTTTCCAGTAAGAAAACATTTTTAATAGCTAACTTAAAACTGATATTTCAAATAAAATATTGTATTTTAGGCAACCTAATCAATAGAACAGTTTTACTTAAATAAAAATGCTTCAGAAATTTTGCATTCAAGCACATAAACCGTGGGAAATTTTCATTAAAATCAAAATCTGCCAACCCAGAGTTCCTTTCCACAAAGGCAGTAGAGAAATAAGTGTTACACCAGAACGGATGCACAATGCCCCAGGCAGTGACTAGCAGAATGCAGACACAGAAGGACCCTTGCCCCTTGTATAATCCAACAGATACCACCCATTGCACACACAATTTCAGGATAGACAGTGACAAGTTCTCAAGTAAAACACTTGACAATGCATTTTATCACACACAGCTCATCCCAGCTTACCGGATTAGTGGGATGAATGTCTGGAATAGCTAATCGCCTGTATCTATAAAAAACCCAATTCAGTCTTTTGACAGAAGGTAGCGTTGCAAGTGGAAGCAAGACCGCACCAAACTGAGGCTCCTGCCCTGCACAGAAGCTGCCAGACAAGGGTGCTATCTCCTTGGAAGCTTAGGTTTCAAAGAGATGGCTCCCGGGTCCTTGAGAAAGGCATTCCTGGGTATAAAGGTGACAAGCGGCCTATCTGGTCTTCAAAAGGATTTTACACGTATTCTAAAGTAAATGCTCTGAGAAAAAGGAGAGAAGGAAGATCCCTTCCTTCACTATTTCCAACAGGAAGAATTAGGTTTCTTAGTTTCTTACTTTGAACAATTGCATTGACTCAATTACTCATTGGTTTAATAAATATTTTCTAGCTGCCTTTTTAGGGCTCACACACTTAGAAGAGCTCGATCTATCAAACAACAGTCTGCAAAACTTTGACTATGGAGTATTAGAAGACTTGTATTTTCTGAAACTCTTGTGGCTCCGAGATAACCCCTGGAGATGTGACTACAACATTCACTACCTCTACTACTGGTTAAAGCACCACTACAACGTCCATTATAGTGGCCTGGAATGTAAAGTGCCCGAAGAATACAAAGGGTGGTCTGTGGGAAAATACGTTCGCAGTTACTATGAAGAATGCCCCAAAGACAAGTTACCAGCATACCCTGAGACATTTGACCAGGACACAGAAGATGAAGAGTGGGAAAAAGTACAGAGGGATCATACCGCAAAGAAACAAAGTGTTAGGATCACTATAGTGGGATAACTTAGAAAGTGTTCCGGCTGTAACTAGTTTTGTGTTAGTATACTGGTGTCAGAAAACTGTATGTTTACATTTTGACTGTGTTGTTTATTTATGCAGGGTCCAGCTACAGGAAGCTTTCTTTAATTGTTTTATAATTGTTATTATGTTGTGATAATTATAGTAATCAAGGGAATACTCCCATCTTGCTTGCTTACCTGTTCGTGGAGCAACTTTTGGAGATACGTGATTCCACACTGGTGACCTGCAGGACCTGGGTCCTAATGGTGGCATTAAGATTTCATAATGTCCTGTATAAATGTTTCTACTGCTTTTTGAAAAAAACTTGGTGCATTTTTATATGCCTTTCAATAGCTCTTTGTACCTATGCAAAGATGCTCAAAATGAAAAGATACAAATGCTTAATCATAATAAAATGTCATTCCTTCCTCCTGTCCACTGCTTGCTTTTATTCAGTAAGTCAATTTATGCACAAAACAGATCTCCATTTCCAATTTCAATACATTTTAATATGCAGCCCTATTATACCCAAATTCTCACTCTTTGGGACCCTTGCAAAAAACTGACAAGCCAAACCTGGAGAGAATTGTTACAATAAGAAATAAGAGTATGAGCATTATATTAATGGAAACTGGGGGCTGGGGATTTAGCTCAGCAGCACAGCGCCTGCCTGGCAAGCGTAAGGTCGTGAGTTTGATTCCCGGTACCAGAAAAAAAAAAAAAATATATATATATATATACATATATATATATATATATTAATGGAAACTGGTCGGAAGATGGACTCTGGGATGCAGATGTAGGTGGTGTGAATTATGAGCCCTGAAGAGGTATAAACACTAGTGAATGTGAAATAACATTGGGGTTTTTGTTATCTTTTATGAGCAGCGTTCAGAAAGCCACCTGTTTTTAGTGAAGGGCACAACATTTCCTGCAAAGCTAATGTGACAAGGACCATGAAACAAAGCATAAAATTAGGATTTAGGGGTCAGAATTTGGGCTGGTGGCAAAAGAAAAATAAAGCAATAAGAGGCAACCAAGGCAACCAAGGGAGTAGTGATATCCAAGATAATCCCTAAAGACTTGCAAGTTAAAATTAGCTCCTCTAGAGAAATAGATGATCAGAAAATGAAGACATGCGTGCAGCATTTAAATCTCTGATACTATCAGCTTGCATTTTGATAGCTGGTTGTATTCTACACGGAGAGAAAAATAAGGTGAAAAGAAATATATATGTAGTAAAATACTAATTTTCCCCTTTTATACAGATTCCTTTTTCACCGTGAGTTGAATACATTTTCATTTTTTGTGTTCCTACAAAGGTTAGCGACTGGTATTATGTGATAGACACTTGTGCAAATTCCCAAAACATGGAATATGATGTTATATTATAAACAGTCCTGAGCACTTTTCAAACAACTACTACATGTGGGGCACTATGCTATGAGTTTCACATGTTCCACTTGTAATTTCCACAGGATCCCTCCAAACAAGGAGGTGTTATCTGTGCTCTATAGATGAGGTAACGTGGACAAAGCTCAGGGCAGGTAGGTGGCAGAGCCAGGTTCCGATCCACCTGAACCCCTTCTCCTGAACAGGGCTGTGGGCCACTGTGAAGTTACTCTCGGCCTTGGATGCCTGCCATTAAAACTTCCAGATCCAAATCCCCAAAGAGCCGTAAGTACCAGGAAGGTTAAATCTTTCTCCCCAGAAATACCCGCGAGAGCAGCTAGCAGGAGAACATCTTTGGCCCAAGGCATGTAAGTCTCTATTAATATGTATAGGAAACCAAGAGACTAGGAAGCTGAAGAACGGCCAGAGCCAGAGGTTATGGAGGTGACTCTGGACCATGAGCTTCTAACCACACTGCCCATTGCACCAATGGGCAACAGGTTTCCAATGCAAATCCCACATTCTTCACCATGAGGCATTACAAGATAGCTGTTGAAACTGAAGTGTTACCAGAGAGATGTAACAAATTCACGTATTATTGTTCATAAGCCTCAGAGTGGAACGTTAATGATTTGGGACCAGAAGCAGCCAAGATTCGGTGATGAAGAAAGCCCAGTATGACCTCAGTAGGAGAAAGGAGGCTTGCACAAGGGACGAAAGGACTCTGGAACACCATGAGGAGATCTCGTCTGATTCTGAGAAAGGGCCCAAGTTGTTCTCTGGTTTAATTTTTGGAGGCTATTTGGGGGTTTTATTAGTTGACTTTTTTTTCCTCCCTTGGGACAGAGTCTCACTCTGTAGCACAGGCTGGTCTTACATTTGTAATCTTCTCGCCTTATTGTTGGTTGATTTTTGTTTTCAGTATCATCCCAGGATTTATTTGGAAATAAAGTTCTGGAACACATCCAAATAGAAATTAATCCAAACCATCTAAAAGTAAATCAGCTGGAGTCTCTCTCAGGATCTTAGTTGAAGTACATTTTTGCAAGCTTAAAATGTGTACCTTCTCTGTATCATAGTTCTTCAAGGAATCTAGTTGATCCATGATGAACTGAACAATTATGTAGATGCTTCATCTCTGACCAATTTCTTCCTCTAATAACTTGCTTTTTAACTTATGTTCAGGAGATTAAAAAATACATATACTTGACAATCTGGAGATATACATATTTGAATAAATATGTTTATCACTTGGGTGTTTGGATAAAACAGGTTTTTAAAACACTTTCTAGACCTAAGATTCTGATTCTTCTGAAGTAAGTAAGACTTACTCTAACCTAAGGCCTCCTGAGTCCTAAGTCTGCTCTCTCTGAACTAATGCCAGTTTTTTGGGGAAAGATATTTAACTTCATGTAGCCCCATTTTTTCATTTATTAGCTATTCCCTGGTGTGGAGCTTACACCCTGGAACAACTCATGTGTATTTCTGAGAAATATGAACAAGTCTTCTGCTCCAAGAAATGGAAGCAACCTAGTAATGAGAATTTTCTTACCTGAAGTCTATAAAGCTGTGCTGTTATCTGCCTTTTTAAATTTCTAAAACAACATTTTAAAGTTACTTTTCATGTAAGGCCAACAACCTGTTGTGTCTAGTCAGCCAAGCAGCCCAAAAGATCAGCCAGTATTATTCTCAATTTAAACAAAACACCAAACTTCTTGACAGAAATGTATGTAATGCTAGACACACATTTCTAACAAATAGATCAGCTGGGCGAAATGGTTGTCAGCAGTTTGCAGGGCAAAGAAGAGTCAGTACTTAATGGGTATCCAGTTTCGGTTTTATATAATGAAAAAGGCTGGAGATAGACAGTAATCGTTGTACAACTATGTGAATGTTCTTAATGCTAGAGAATTGTATTCTTACATGCGTTAAAATGGTAAGTTTTTTCTGTTATCTATATTGTACAAATAAAAAAGAGCCAAAAATATGGATTGGTTGAAGCAATCAATGAAATTGACAACACTTTCATTAGACTCACCAAAAAAGTCAAAGAAGGTAAGTATCACTTAAAACAGAAATGAAAGTATTTTAGTGCCAACCTTACAGAATAAAAAGTATGACACAATATTATGAACAACAATATCCCAACTAGTTAGATAAATGAATGGAACTGACAAATTCCTGGAGACACTCAAACTACCAAAACTGACTTAAGGAAAAATAAAATATAAATAACTCTCTAGTAAGCAAAGATATTAAATAAGCAAACAAAAAATCTCCAACCAACAACATACTAGGGCCAGATGGCTTCACGGAAAGTCCTAGCAAATATTTGAAGAATAATTAGCACCAATATTTCTCAATCTTAAAAAGAAAACTAGGAGAAAACACCTAACTCATTCTCAATAAAGTTAGTATTACCCAGAGGACAGCAGTCAGATTTCACAAGAAAGGAGAATGACAGACTAATATTCCTTTTAAATATAGGTGCAAGCCAGGCTCAGCAGTGCATGCCTGTAGTTCCGGCCCCTGAGGAAGCTGAGCCAGGAGGGTGGCGGTACAGTTTGGATACAAAATAGCCCCCAAAAGCCTCATATGTACAGCAGGTGGTTGGATTACAGGGACACCACCCTCACCGGTGGATTAACCCACTAATGAATCCACAGCTGACTTGCCACTGAAAGGTCATAAGATCTCAGTTCAGAAGAAAGGAACAGAGCTAAGTTATGGAGAAAATGACTCCTGTTGATCCTGATGTACTGGTCTAGAGCAATCATCTAGAAAGTAGCGAATGTTTTCTAAGAGAGTCCATTATCCACATGGGTTTAACTGTGGAGCAGGTGGTGTGTGACCACCTGGAAGAGCTCACAGCCTTCCACTCAAAAGAAGGGAAAGGCTCCTCCTTTTTCTCTTACTTCTCAGCTGCATTGCCATTAATCCCCTTCAAAATACTTTCCCTTTCTTGAATACGAACACACTTATCCAGTGGTTCTCAAGCAATTCTGAAAGCCCTCCTTTGTGTCTTTACAAAGTGTGAGCAAAAACAAAGTGAATGCTGCTGACAAGTACCATCCAACTGAAAGGCTCATAAAATCCTGGCTGTGTGTCTTCATCCGCCTTATTCACCAGACTTGACGCCATGAAAGTTCTGGCTTGTCTCCAAAGTTGAAATGGTCATCACATGTAAGTGTTTCGAGTTCATTCACGACATCAAGGTACCCATGACAGTGCAACTGAAAAGGGACTCACTCATGAGAAAGGACTTTCAGAACTGTTCCAGAAAGTGGCAAGAATGATGTGTGTTCAAAGCAAGGAGGGGTGTTTTGAGGGGGATTAATGGCAATATGCATTTTACTGTAATAATTTTTAAAAATTTAATCATTCACTGGTTTATGATCACACTTCATATATACAAAACATTCAGAAGAGAGGGGAAGAAGCAAGGGAGATAGGAGGCGGGGGAGGGAGGGAAGGAGGAAGGGCAGGAGAAGGAGTTTGAGTGGCTGCCACTTTAGCGTTTATAGTTTTTCATTAACTTTTGTCACTACAAAAATAATCAATTGCTTCCAAATGGCAAGCTGAACATATGCTCAATTTCTTTCTCTTGCCTAAAGTACAAAAATGGAATTTTTTTCCAAAAATCTGTTGTATACAGAAGACAGAACATGACAGGTCTTGGTGAACAGTTCCTAAAAGTCCAAAGGCAGAGTGACCAGACTGAATGAAAAAATAAGCAGTAGGTAGCTGCTATAAAAGTCAGAATAGCATTATATCCCCACACAGGACAGAGCCCAGAAATGACAATATATCACATTAACACTGTCCTCATGAAAAGTATGCAAAAAAGGAGTCAAGCACAAGACTAGCTTCCTGCTTATTCCAACTACTTTTCAAGATTATAAATAAGGTCCTAGGCAATATAATAAAGTGGGAGAAAAGATATAAGAAAAGGAATCAAAATAAAGCTGTTAGATGATATAATCTACCTAGAAACCCCAAGAGAATCAACTGACAAACTATTAAAACCAAGAAGACAGTTTACACTGTAGTCTGATACAATAACACCATTCAACATCCATGGTTTCAGTACCAGCTTACTCTCTTGCATAAATTTCTTCTTTTTAATAAAAATTTACCAGTACTATACATCTAAAACTCTTTGTACACCTCTTCTTTATTGCATTAAATGCTTTCTACCCCTTTGCATAATGCTGTCTTAAATTTTGAAGTTTCCATTCTCATGCATGTCACTACATGTACATGTGTCTTTAAAAATTCTCATGCATGTCATTACATGTACATGTATCCTTAAAAATATTATTGCCATGATTTCAGAATGAAGTGTGCATATGTATTACTGTGTACATTGAAGAACTGTATACAAATTACATTGGATCAGGTAGGATACAATTTATATGTATACAGTTTTATAAGCATGTCATTCTGCAACTTGATTTTACTCATTACTATCTTTATTTTTTTATGTTAAAAATAAAAGAACAAAAATATATTAACACACATACATTTACAAAATAACACAAGAACAATACAAGTGATACTGAAATTCAGACAAGGTGATAGGAAATTAACAATGGTTGCTGTACTACATATTGATTTCTTCAAAGTGGTTACTCAGGAAAACAAATATAGACATGCAAGATTGATCAAATAATTAATCATTAACTGTTTCTTTCAATAAAGCAATAGAAGTCAATAGTACAACTATGTTAGCTACCCTGTATATAATATCTTTAGACTTACCCAAATTGATATTTACACATGTGTATAGCATTCTTTTTGTTCGGAGTAAGCATAGATCATATGCTTTTTCTGCCAAAAAATATATACACACTTCAGCAGTTGTCTTGAAGCTAATAACGGCCACCACTTTGAACACTTCTTAGAATTGAAGAGGACAAAGGTAACTTGTATTCATTTTATGTTATTTCAATAAATTCAGTGTATTTATATACATTTTTCTTTTCCTGATGTATACATTTTTGGCTGATTCTGTATACTATATAGTTTTTCTCATTTCAAAAATAAGATAAAGTGCATCCAAAAGATACATCAATTACAAATAAATATCACACTGCAAGTACAACGCAGCTTGAAAACAAATAGAAATAACTTCAATACCCATCAACAGGAAGATTAAATAAATTATAGTGCATCTATAATATGGGAAATAATTTTACGACATTTAAGAGCTTATTCCATCTATAGGTAGTGACACAGGGAGGTTTCTAAAACTTAAAACAGTCTAAGCTCTTTTGTATTCCAAATGACAATTGTGTATTTTGAATCATGTATGAATATGTAAATATATTTTAGAAACAAATTTAAAATGTATAACTTTGGCTGCTTTTCAATAAGTGAAGGGGCTTTAGGAAAGGAGTGCTTTTACTGTCTAGTATTACATTTTTTAAAGTGAGACTGCCTTCTTGTACCATATTTTTACTAGATCAATTGATGCTACATGGAGGGCAAATGCTGGAGCATAAACAGTGACCCAGGAGAATGGCAAAGGACCAACTCCCAGGCCTCACAGATCAGTGAGAGCCAACCATATTACAAGTATTTCAAAGGGTTGCAATTTATGACCTCGGACCATCACCGAAATTTTCATCTTATGCTTTCAATTTATGCTTCTCTATATATTTACTTAATTATGTCCACGAAAACAAGGTAAGTAGTTGTTGCAAACAGACTTACTGACGGATTTCAAAGTTTTTGTTCGGAGAACACAACCACGGAAATTCAAACGCAGCACATTTAGACGCCACCTTTGCAGAGTAGACACTACAAACTTATCTGTAATTATACTTTTCACCATGGAAAAATCAATCTAAAAAGGATAAATGAAAGGCATTAAGAGAAACAAGAAAGGTCTACTTCATGTAAAAATTTTAAATATTTTAAATCAACAAGTACTAAAACCTCTTTGGCACATCGTCTCCAAATAGAAAATGAGACTGAAATGTTAAAGTACTCCCTCTCGTATCATATGCAAATTTCATTAATAAAATAAGGAACACATGCAAATGTACACTTTCAAAAATGACTTTAATTGGGTTTTAAAAATACAGTACATTAATATAAAAATATAAATGCAAATGGTTTTTTCTGGTGCAATAGTGAGCAGAGCCTTGTGCATGCGAGGCAAATACTACTGTTGAGCTAAATCTCTAGGCCACAAATGGTTTCTTAACATAAGAGCATATTGTCTCTCTTCTGAGTTAAGATATACACAACAGAATAACAATATCAGATATCAAAAAACAGAGACTTAAGAAAATCTTGGAATAAAAGATATTCATAACTCCATAAATTTTTGTGACTATCAATCAATCCAACCTTTACCTGAATAACGTTGCCTCTAGAAATTTATCCAGAAGACATAACCATATATGTACATTTTTAAAATAAGGATCACAATGTCCTATGTCCTATGGGCTTTTAATGGCAAAAGAAGGAAGCAAACCAAATGTATTTTGATAAAAGACTGCCTAAATAACTTGCGGGACTTCACAAAACTAAACACTGGACAGAAGCTGAATTCAAGGCAAAAAGGCATAACTCAGAAAGAGAGAAGCTAAGGCAATATGGTCCAACTGTTATTCTCTTCTTGTCTAATTCAGTCCAGAGACAAAATTCACAGTATCTATAAGAATTAATAGACCAAATCTTTCTGGAATATTACTCTTTGATGACAATCTTTTGATGAAAATTGATCCTCAGAGTTCAAGATTTTATTTTACAAGAACCCGCATAGCAGAAATCATGTGGTGCCAGTCAAGGAGTGTCTAACAGCAGGCCTGTCAGTCCCTAATCAGTACTCAGTGACTAACAGCACACACTTTGTGGTCAGACAGGGTACAGCCTGAATTCCTACCAAGATATTTAACAACCTAACCGCCCACCTTGAACTTAGGCTACTATATTACTAAACTAAACATAGGGGTTTTGTTTTTGGTTGGTTTGTGTGTTTCTGTCTGTCCTTTTTTTCATGTGTAAAATGAGAAAAATAACAGTGCCTACCTCAGTAGGCAACAGGGTTAAATTCAGAAAATGCAAATATAGTGTCCCCCAGGAATATAGGAGGCACTCAATAACAACTGGATACAAGCATTAGTTCAAGTGAACAAAACAAAGCGGCATAAAATATGAAGAAATTTTTGTACAGTAAGCACGGAGTAGGACTAAAATGCACAACACATAAACAAGGCCGCTTAATTTATGTGCACACACAAGCTAGTGTTGGTTAAGACCGGCTTCTAAACTGGCACCTTTGCCCTCTTTTGCCCAACTACTACTTTTGTAACCTGGCATGTGCCTCTGTTTCTTATTCCAAAGAGACAGTAGGGAGAGGACTTGGACTACATTAAAAATTCAGCATATATTTTCCCCCAGTGACTCTTCCCACTTGTTTCTTGGATGACACTGGCATCTCAAGGGGTACAGTCATTTATTCCAGCAATCAATGTTCAGTAACTGTCATTTTCTCCATCAGTAGCTGACTTTACCACGCCTCCTTGTTTTCAGTGACTGGAGGAGTGACGATATCCTGTGCTCAGACTGAGATGCTGAGGACAGGTGCCAAGGTGCCAAGGACTATGGATGCCCAAGACAACTCAGCACCGTCACAGTCCACCAGAGCACCGTCCCCTCCTCGGGTGCCTGTTCTGATCTCACTCTGTGCAACCTAGGCAAGGAGAGAACTGATCCTTTCCTCGCCAACAAGTTAGATATTCCTGACTTATGGTTAGTTTAAGGGAGTAGTTCTAAAGCTTGAGTCTGTATCTGGCTAGTATGAATGGATTGTTAAAACCGATTGTTCATTGCTGCTCCCAGAGTTTCTAAGTCAGTAAATCTGGGTTGGGGCCCAAGAATCTGCATTTCCAACGCGTTCCTGGGCAATCCTGATGCTGCCGATCCCCCGCACACTTTGAGAACCACTGGCTTAAAGTAATCTTACTTATGGGATGGACATTTGGGGATGTTATTTTTTCCTTTAGAAAAAAATTCCATAAAGAAGAAAAATGAATCCAAATGCTCTGGATGGGAAATAGTATGTGCAGTATTAGGATCAGGACATATTCTGCAGAAAATACTGCAGCAATCAGAAAAACCCATCATTTCTGCCCAGAGAACTCACTGAATAAAGATGTAGAGGATATGAGCACATAGCAGTGAGGCCCACAGCCTGAGCAGGAGGTTAAGTTTCTATATGTTCAATTTCCCTTCCCATAATTATATGTTGCCCACTGATCCTATTTCTGCCTTTATCAGTGTGTTCAAATGTGGTATACTTATAACAAGCATTTTAGCACAAACAATAGCTTTGTTCAGAAGGCAATGAGAAATGATGAAATCGGAAAGTGAATGTTCACAAACTGGATGTTTCATCTAAAAAAATTGAATTTTTAGGTTAAAATATTCTCAATATAATATCAATCTTCTGGTTAATCAATCAGCCCTGGCCACTCAGAGCTCACATAAAACTGGTTCTTATCAATTTTACATAAAATCAGCCAAGTACGCTGAGATCATTCTTTCTTCTTTGTAGAACTAATCCTTCCAAAGTTTGAGTTATAGCTTGTCATTTTGAGTTATGCATAGTCATTACGAACCACACACTTTACACTGTCTTTCTCATATAGAGTCTGTGCTCATAAAACAGAATCAGGCACACATTAACAATGAAACCAGGAGGAAGTATAAGCTATCCAATAAAAGGGGATTTGCTTCAATCCAAAAATAACAGTCAACTCATATCAGCAATTTAAATTTTAAAATACTAAAATTTGTCTCTTAAAATAACATCATTGTTGTTTCTATTTTGTCCTCCAGGCTTGTGTCCAGACCAAAGAAAAACTAATGCATTTGCTGCTGGTGGCCAGAGGAGAGCTGGGAGAAGGAGGTCCCTACCGAGGCCAGCCTGACCAGTCCGCTCACCTTTACAGAAGAGCAGCACCACACGTTCAGCGCGAGTCTACTCACCGCATTCCACAGCAAGTTCGTTTGTGTCATCGACATCCAGGAGTGGTTGACTTGGCCACACGTTATCACTTCTCTTAAACTGAGGTATAAGAAAATCTAAATGCAAAGAAAAGAAACACAGTTCCAAAGAATATGGGAACTTTTCTGTAACTCCTCTCCTTACTTTGTATGGGTATGTGTGCGTGTGTGAACAGCAGTAATATAATCCACACATTAGAACAACAGAAGTTTAAGTGCTAAAATTTTATCTGAAGACACCAATCTTACTCAAAGTAGTGAACTTTTCTGCAGACGACTTTTATATAATATGATGCTTTCTTAAACAATGTGCCACATATTGTATTCCTACGGTACGTTAAACCTTGTACCAATCTATGAGCTCTGTTGTACAGTGTTTATTTCACGGTTCTTTATAGCTGCTCCTTACCATTTCACTTAAAGAATTATTATGAAGAATTTACACAGACCTCTTAAAAACATGAATCTGAGAGTGCCTTTTAAAAGCTATATTATAAACTGTGCCCTTACAGTGACTCAAACTCTAACAAACTGGAAACTCTATAATGTGGTATTTTTTGTGGTATTTTATAACTTTCTCTTACTATCAAGTTTAAAGCCCTATTATAAGGCATTTGAACAGACTTTTTTTTTGTTGTTTTTTTTTTCCCAGTACCAGGAATCGAACTCACGACCTTTTGCTTGCCAGGCAGGCACTGTGCTGCTCAGCTAAATCCCCAGGCCTCCAACAGACATATTGAAGACATACTAATGGGATCCTCCTAACTGACAGTTGCAGAAGGATGGTGAAAAAGATAAAATTGCAAGATTTCTCCAAAGAATAACTGGCACTGGGAGGTTATTAGTAACTGCTGAACTAAACTGGATTTTTTTAAGTTACAGAATTGCTGGGAAAGATCAATAAACACACCTAACATCTATCTCTAGAAAAATAACAGACTGGAAAATCAGGAAATCTTGTTGATACAAACAACCAGCAAATGTCAAAACAATTTTTAAAAAAACTATGACTCAGTTTCCAAGAGAGGGAAATCTCCAGGGCCCCAGTCCTAGCCCAGACTGGCAGTAAGGTGCTCGCAGTGGTTTTGGCAGCAGTCCGGGATGGCAGCTGCTTTTCATAAATGTAGTCAGAATTTATTCACCTGACCACGCAGCAACAGAAAAGTCACCAAGTTTATACAAGACGAAGTGTGTGTGTGTGTGTGTGTGTGTGTGTGTGTGTATCATGGAAGGGAGCAGGGAGGTGTCCAGGATTATGGAGGAAGAGCTAGAAAATAACCTATCTCTTGGCAAAAGAAAAACGAAGGTACAGAGGGTGTTATGGAAAAAATCTCCTAAAGAATTTGTAAGCAAAGGCCAGCTATCATTTGTGTTAGAATTTGGATTTTCATTATTTTGGGGGTTCAACTGGAATTTATTACCTTTATAACTAGATCTGATATAGTAACATCCAAAGAGTTTCTAACATAATAACTCTGTGACATTTGGCAGACATGAAATCACTCTCTCTAAAGAGTGAGTAACATACCCAAGTGAGGCCTTGCATGATTTCCACAGATTAGCCCCAAAGCAAAACAATAGCTCCTACTCAAAAACTGCAAAACATGTGAGGGGGGAAAAACCAATAAGAATGTACTGAAATAAAAAAACTCCACTGATAAAGTTGCCAGTGACAAACCTTCACTGATAAAACCTTTGAAGTGAAAAAGCAGAAAGAAAAATAAAACTCTTGAAAAGGACTGGAAAGATTTGGGAAAGAACCAAAGAAAATGCATGGGAATTAAAAAGATAATTAATGAAGTTTAAAACTCAACAAAGGAGAGTCCAAGATGCAGACGAGAAGCACACAGCTACCACCAGATTCTCCAGGGCACAGAATCGAACAACTGGAAAGCGGCCACTCTTTGAAGTGGGTGACTGTGGAAAGGCTCTGAAGTAGTGAATAGACGGACCTGGAAAAATACCCAGAGGCTTTAGAAAACAGAACAAAGGACAAGGAAGAGCATGCCAGCATCAAATGCCCAGAGGCATGGGTAGCGGTGGAAGTGAAAGGGGAAGAGAGAGAGAAGGCCAATCCCAAACCCAACAGCACAGATCTCAACCCTGCGCGGAGGTGCACCCCACACAGGCAGCGGCCCTGGATTCCGCACAGTGTGGCAGCACTGGGGGCGAACTCTGCTCCCCGACACACAGTCACAGGCAGCGCTGCTGAGCTCACTTGAGAAGGTCGTGTCTGAGCTCACTGCTGAGGGCAGTGGTGGTGAGCCTACGGCGTGTGTGCGGCAGTGGGCACACAGAGCCCTCTCTCTTCCACACTGAGCCAAGTTGTCCCCGCATCACCCCGGCAGCCAACCAAGCATCAGATATTCAAGTTTAATTGCAGTGTTGGCACTTGGTGATAAATACATGGGCTTTGGATTGCAGTTTTGGCACTCAGTGTCTAAATTAATGTTCGCCATCGCTGGTTAGGGAATCAAAGGCCTCTACATCCTTCTGCCTGATCCAGGAACCAGCAGCAGTGCTGGTTGCTTTTAGTTAGTTACCACTGTATTTCCATAGCTGGTTTGTCTATACGTAGAGGTTGTTACTGCCATTTGTTGACCTTTATCTGAGTGATACTGGAGATCAACCCCAGTATCTTGAAGGGGGTTGCTCCTGAGCTACATTCCAGTCCAGTTGTAAGAAACTGCACCTCCATCCAGCTATGACCAAGCCCCACTTGCTTTGAACTGTGGCAAATACTGTCACTTAAAGACCAAGAGAGAAGAGTCTCCAGACACTGACTTGGTTCCAAGCAGGCATAGCCAGGGGAGTCCTGAAGTCCCATTCCTGTTCATTTATGGCCATAGCAGTGTCAGAGAGAAAAACCATGACTACTGAAGACATCACACCTATGAGTGACCGAAGCATGGGTAGTTTCCAAACATTCTAGACTATACATCTCTGGCAACTCTGGATAAGTAACCAGGCGGCATCCACCCCATATACACAGCTGTACACAACATGTGTGTCTGAAATATAGAGGGTCCCACCTCTTGAGAGGCCCATAGAGAAGGAGGGTCACTTCGGCTTTGACACAGCACACAGAGTCAAAACCCACTAATCACAGCCAAAGAAGCCACAAAGAAACTACACCAAGAAGTCCATTTGGAATTAAACTCAACACTGCACACAAACCAAGGGTATATTGACAAGAGAATGCTACCTCCGTCAACAAGAGTCTCACATGATCAAGGAAGAAAGTTCCACCCCAAGAGAGACATAAGTCTCAACACAGAAATACAAAAAGTCAAGAGAAAATGAATCTTCCAGAAGTTATTAACTTGGCAGAAACTGACTCTAAAGATACTGAAGTAGATAAAATGCTAAAGAATTAAAAAGATTGATTTTTAAATGATCAATTGATGAACAGCTGTTTGAACCAAAGGAGGCAATGTAGGGTATGAAAGGGCAATTCAATAAAGAAATAGAGGTTCTGAAAAAGAATCAGACAGAAATCTTGAAAATTAGAAGCTTAATAAATCAAACAAATACCTCAGTTGAAAGCGTCACCAATAGCCTAGATTAAGTGGAAAAAAAGGTATCAGAGCTTGAAGGTAAAGAAGATTGTAACCGAAAATGGGCCCCCTAGCCAGTATACTTTAGTTTCTTAGTTGCTCAGGTAATAGTTCCTGTTGCAGTTCCAGTTTCTCCTGTCTCTTAGAAACAGCTGGTCACTGTGATGCACAGTGTATAAACCAATCCCTAACTGACAAGCCATTCTGCCTCTGTACCGCCTGCTTGCTTATCCCATAAAAGCCCTGGACCACCAGAGGTCAGGGCCTGATATTTTGGGAATGATCCCGATCAGTGCCCATCAACATAAATAAATCTGCCTCCAAATCCTGGGTGTCGTTTTGTTGTTTCTACTTACGACTGCAAGATGAGTTACCACATTTGGACAGTAATAAAGAAAAAAAGGAAATATATACAGAACATATACGTTTTTTAGAATAACATTAAAAGACAAAATATAAGAATCAAAATAATACAAGGCTGAGGGTGCAGTTCAGTAGTAAAGTACTTGCCTGGCTTGTATGAGACCCTTAGTTCAAACCCTAGTACTACAAAAAAAAGAAAGAGGGGCTGGGGATTTAGCTCAGCGGCAAAAGCGCCTGCCTGGCAAGCGCAAGGTCGTGAGTTCAGTTCCCGGTACCGGAGAAAAACAAAAAAAAAAAACAAGAAATAATCTCTCAGATAACTGCAGAGATGGTGTCCCCGATGAAAACCATGCTTAGTGATTCTAGAATAGATACAGGCAAGAAAAT